TTTTCTCTGATCCTTTCTTGTCTTTGTTACTTTTGGACTCTCTTTTCCACTCAGAGTGTCACCTTTAATATTTCTTGCAGGGCTGGTTTAGTGGTCATGAACTCCTTTAATTTTTGTCTGGGAAACTCTATCTCTCTTTCTATTCTGAATGATAGCCTTGCTGGGTAGAGTATTCTTGGCTGCAGATTTTTCCCATTCAGCACATTGAATATATTATGCCTTTCTCTTCTGGCTTGCCAAGTTTCTTTTGGAAAATCTCCAGCTAGCCTTATAAGTTTTCCCTTGTAAGTTATGGACTTTTGTCATGTTGCTTTTAAGATTTTTTTCTTTATTGTTGTATTTTGCAAATTTAATTATAATATGTCTTCATGTTGGCCTGCTTTCATTGATTTTGATGGAAGTTCTCTGTGCCTCCTGGATCTGGATGCCTGTTTCCTTCCCCAGATTATGGAAATTTTCAACTGTTATTTCCTCAAATACATTGTCTGCCCCCTTTTCTCTCTTCTTCTTCTTCTGGGACTCCTATAATACAAAAATTATTACTTTTGATTTAGTCACTGAGTTCTTTAAGTCTGTTCTTGTGTTTCATTATTCTTTCTCTTTTTTTTCAGCTTCATTATTTTTCATTATTTTATCTTCTATATCACTTATTCATTCCTCTGCTTCTTCCATTCTTTTGTTCATTGCATCAAGTGTGTTTTAAATCTGTTATTTGGTTTTTCATTTCTGACTGATTGTTTTTTAACTCTTTTATCTCTGCAGTAAGGACCTCCCTGAAGTTTTCCATTCTTTTCTCAATCCCAATGAGTATCTTTATGATTGTTGCTTTAAATTCTCCATCCAGCATGTTACTTATATCTGTTTTGCTTAGATCTCTGGTCATGACTGTATCTTGTTCTTCACTGGGGATAAATTCCTCCATCTTTGCATTTTGCCTAAGTCTCTGCCTTCTTTTTTGTGTTAGAAAAGCCAGTTATGTCTCCTGCTCCTAAAAGTAATGGTCCTATGAAGAAGTCATGTAGTGCCCAGGGCCTGGTGCTTCAGGGAGTGTCTTTGATGTGTGCTGCATGTGCTCAACTGTTGTTGAGCTCTACACTTCAGGCTAGTCATCTACAGAGTCTCTCCTTGCTTGCTGTTGGCAGTGTTTGGTCCCCGGCCTGAATGTGGCAAGTTTTAACTAGGTATCCTCTGGTCTGCTTATGTGAGATTGGACACCTCCTCCACCAGAACTGAGGCCCTGCAGAACTTTCTGGTCGGGAGATGTGGTTTGGACAGGGGTTTGTGCTGGTCTTCTGGGGTAGGGGCCTGCCACAGTGGGACTGAGGCAAGCATGACTGGGACGGGTAGTTACATGGGAATGCAGGGAGGTGGGACTTGGTGCAAGCAAGTTATGCAGCCAGTGTCAGCAGTGCACTGCTTCTGATAGGTGGCTCTGTGTTTATGCTGAGAAGCAGGGGAGGGAAATGGTGCTGGCCAGCTCCTTTATCCCAGAGAAGTGTCTCTGTGAATGCTGCCTCTCAGGGATGTACTCTGAGAAGAGTGAATCATCTCACCGGTGTGTGCCTCAGATGCTCTTTGGATGCTGTTTCTACACTGTCTGCCCCTGGGTTTGTCTACCTTCTCTCCAGAGTAACACAGTGTCCTGCAGGCTTTATCCCAGCCAAGCCCACTGACCTTTAAAACTCCAGGCTTTAAGCCCCTCTGGTTGCAAGAACTCATAATTCAGACCTTCTCATTTTCCAAGCCCATGGCTTTGGGGAAACATTCTCCTTTTCTGTTCCCCTGGGTGCTCCTCTATCTCTTGTCCTTCTCTGTGACCATGTTTCCCTCCACTCCACAGCACATGTGATCCATTTCTCCCCTAAACCCTGTCTCCATACTTTCTGCCTTCTTTGATGTGGCCTCTTCTCTCCTTTTAGTTGTGGCATTTGTTCTGTCAATCTTCTGGTCGACTTCTGGGGTATTCAGGATGATTTGATAGTTACCTAGTTGTGTTCATGGAATAAGGCAAGTGTAGGGTCCTCCTACTCCACTGCCATCTTCCTCCTACCAAGCTTTGTATCTCCTTTTTAACTTAACATTTTTAAAACAGAGGCTTTAAAAACTTTTGCAGGTAGAAAGCCCTTTCTGTTTTCCATTTTGTTAGTAGTTTAACTTTTGTTGCATTGTGATTGGATTGTTTGTAATATTTCTACTTTATGGAAATTAATGATGCTGTTTCTCTGAAATAATTATCAATTTTTGACAAGAAAATATATTCTGTATTCTCTGTCTCTCTCTGTGTGTGTATACTATGTGTTTTACCTTATTGATTATGTTGTTTACATTTTCTACTTCTGCATTCTTTTTTTATACCACTTGATCTATCTTGTACTGAAACTGGTTTCTTAAATCTCCTATTATTATTGTCTTTTTTTTTTTAAATCTAAGTCTCCTTTCCCTTTTGCTTTATAACAGTGGTTGCTGTGTTACTTGGTGAATAAATGTTCCTAAGTGTTACATTTTTATTGTGAATCTTGTCTTTTATCATCAAGACATATTCTTTGTCATGTTTAATACTTTAAAAAAATTACCCTTAACCACTTGTTTTCTTAACAGTTTACTATCTTGTCCATTCTTCGTCCCCCCACTGGTATCATTTAATATTCACCTACTGCATTATGGCAAAAAGTTTACTCTATTCTCTTCTGTTTCTCTCCTTACTCTCATTTTTAGTTGAATGATTTCTGTTTTTCTTTTCACAACATGACACATTTGTACATTAGTCTTTCCTCTTTTCCCCTACCTTGATTATAGTATTAGTTGTTAAAATCAGATATTTTGGTGACATTTTCCCTGTCATCACATGTAGGTTTACATTCTCAGTTCATCTTTTAGAAGATTACTTGACAAACATTCTGTAAAGAGACATTTGGTAAATATTTTAAACTTGTGGGTCACGGTGTCTCTGTTATAACAGCTTTGCCATTGTAGTGCAAAAGCATCCATAAATAATACATAAATGGTTGATCACGGCTTTGTTCCAATAAAACTTTATTTACAAAATCAAGCAGTGGACTAGATTTGGCATAATCTGGCCACAATTTGCAGACCTCTGCTCTAGTAGATTCCTGAGGAAGGACTGAGTGATGGAGAATTTCCTAAGTTCCTGTATGTTAAAAAACTGTTTTTCTGTAGGCTGTGATAGTTGAAGAACACTCCAGCTAGATATAAAATCTTTACTTCAGATTTTTAAAAACAAATTTTATTATTGAAGTATAGTTGACATACACTGTTATATTAGTTTCAGGTGTAAAACATAATGATTTGACAGTTCTGTACATTATACAATGCTCACCACCAGAAGTATAGGTATGATATGTCACCATACAATGTTATTACAATATTATTGACTATATTCTCTATGCTGTACTTTTATTTTTAGTACATTTCTGTTTTTAGATTTTTGAAAACATTCTGATTCAAGGTAGGTTTCATATCCTCAGATGCTTGCTGGAATATTTAATTCTGTTTGGAGTGTTACCTCAGAGTCTCCTGATTCATGGTTGTTTAATATGTGTGAAGTTTGTTACCTCATCTTTTTTGCAATGTTTTTATATGGAATTCCCTTTCCTTTTGTTCATTTGTATGATATTTAGTAGTTTCACAAGAGTCTTAGTTTAGTGATGTCCTTTTCTGTCATTATAGCAAAGTCCGGATCCTTATTTGTTTTGTATGTTTGTTTTGGTAATCGAGGGAGTTATGAGTGCTCTGATTTTGTGGTTCTTTTATGTCTTGCAAGATCCTTCCTCTTCCTCTTTTGTTTATTTTTCCTGTCATACCCAATTGCTAAAGTGTGCTTCTCCCTTCCTTTTTGCCTTTATTTTTTTCTAGAAGTTATGTCTTTCAAAGACTGAACCTTTAAATCATTCCTGCCCTTTTACATGCTCATATTTTGGACTCCCTTCCGTGGGTTCCCTGCTCTCATCTTCCAGGACATCTTTTTCAGACTTGTTTTGTGCTTAGTCATTCTGCTATAGTTCTAGAGCAACTTTAAGCTCCTCACCATCTTTCTTCTTCTGTATCTCTTGTAGCTTTTCTTGGTCTGATTTTGCTTGCTACAAAGCCTAGTGATGAGAGTGTAACAGACTGTGTGCTGGGATTTTATGATTTTTTCTTACTTAAAATTATTTTGAAGTTTGGCATTTTCCATTTTATTTTATTTTTTGGAGATAGAGAAAGTGAGCATGAGTGGGGGAGGGGCAGAGGAAGAGGGAGAGGGAGCATCTTAAGCAGGCTCCATGCCCATTGTGAAGCCCAATGCAGGTCTCAATCTCACAACCCTGAGATCATGACCTGAACCAAAATCAAGAGTCAGACACTTAACAGATTGAGCCACCCAGGTGCCTCTGGCATTTTCCATTTTAAAGTAATGATAAGGATATAGCTTTTATGCAGATTTACATTTTTCTTCTTACTGGTTTATATCCTTTTGGGAGGAAATATTGGGAAGACAGCAGCTGAGTGGTTAGCATTGTGTTCTGCTAATTTACCTCTGATTTCTTTTTTTTTTTTTAAGATTTTATTTATTTATTTGACAGAGAGAGACACAGCGAGAGAGGGAACACAAGCAGGGGGAGTGGGAGAGGGAGAAGCAGGCTCCCCGCAGAGCAGGGAGCCCGATGCAGGACTTGATCCCAGGACCGTGGGATCATGACCTGAGCCGAAGGCAGTCGCTTAACCAACTGAGCCACCCAGGCGCCCTACCTCTGATTTCTAATGGCATTTTATCTTATGTAAATACATGTGTGTTTGTGTATGTATGTATGTATATATATGCATGCACATATATACTTAGACACACATAGAAGTCCATTTTTATTCTGTTTGTATAGTAGAGGTCACCTGAGTTGGCTGATTCAATAACCATCTTGTTCATAGCTAATCTTGGAGGCAAATAAGACTGTAGATATCTTTTCAGGATTTCTAAATATTCCTCACCCTGAAGCACATTCATGAAGATGGACCAGAAGGCCATAGCCACACTGCTAGAGCTTGCTGCAAAAAGTCTACTGAGTAATGAGCCTGCAGCTATCCATGCCTTGGAAGAACTCCCAAGAGACCTCTTTGTTCCCTTATTCATTGATGCCTTCTTGGGAGGGCATAAGAAGATACTAAAAGCAATGGTGAGGGCTTGGCCCTTTCACTGTCTCCATATTGGGGCACTGAGTATACAAGAATCATACTATGAAATCTTGGAAGCCATGACTGATGGTCTGCAGATCCACCCTGACCAGAACTCTTCCTCTTGGTAAGCCTGTATCAAGTAGAAACATAGTGAGTCAGCAGAAGGATATGCTAGAGCCTGGGGCAGGGGGATACCTAACAGCCTCCCAAAAATAGCCAGTGGTGAATGCTGAAGATCTCTGTGTGGCTATTGGTCTAACACATGGGGTTACCTTAGGGACTCCAATGTCTTACAGGCTTGATTATAGAATAGAGGTCACTGAGGTGGTGGATCTATCTCCTGAGTATGATTACACAGAAGGACATGGGTGTTGAGACTGGGGAGGACCAGAGGTGAAGAAAGTATGGGTAAAGAGTGAAATGTTAAATTTGTATAAAAGGGCTTACTGGTGAATGGTATATGGAATGAAAAACAGGGATAAAGAGTTCTGTTTCTGCTTCCCATCATTGATCTTGCTGGGTTATATTAAAATCAGCTACTTCTCATGTGTGTTCTGTCTACTCTTCTCCATACAGGGAGTCAAAACTGAGGATCCTAGATTTGAGACAGGACCCAGACTGTAGAACAACATGCTCAGAGATCAGTAGCACATTTCCTTTCTGTTTTCAGTCTTGTGTTTACTCTCGACACTCTATGCTTAAAACAGAAGAAGCCCAGCATAATGTCAAGTGCCTTGGAATTGTTAATTCAGAGTCTGAGCTTCCGTCAACCCAGAAGCCCATAGAATTATTAGTGGACCTTTCTTTCAATAGTACCTTGAGAACAAAGCAATTCCTTTCTTTCCTTCAGAGTAAAGTTGAGCAGAGCTTTGGGTCTTTGCACCTCTGCTGCAGAGATTTGCAAATTGATAAAATCTCTGCCCACAAAAGTGTCCTGCAGTTTCTGGATCTGGGATGCATTGATCACCTGGAATTGAATCAGGCTTATCTGAATGAAGTCACCACCCTTTTGGCTCAGATGATCCACCTGAACAGCATTAGTTTGTCTAACATCTCCTTTAAACATCGTAAGGGGGAAGACTTCAGAGCTTTTCTCATCCAGCTTGGGCAACTAGACAACCTCCAGGAGCTCAGCTTGGCTTTATTCTGCCTTACAGATCAACTACATAAACTGCTCAGGTGAAGGGGTGGGGAGGAACCTCGGTTCTCTGGACATCCCATTTTTAATACAGGAGAAGAGACCATACTTGGATATCCCAGGGTCCTTGTAACCTATTTCTCCTTCCACATCAGCATGGGCACTGGCAGGAGTTTGAAACTGGCCAGGCTAGTGAAAGGTATCTTGTGAGGAGACAGACAATATTTGAAAAGAAAGCTGTGCTCATTCATTTATTCATTCATTCAGTTGACCATGTGCAAACAGTATGAAAAATTTGTAAATATATTAGTGAAAAAGACTCAGTTCTTCTTCTATTGGAGTTTACAGCTTTCTAGAGAGGAGGGGGAGACATTCAGATGATGCACATCCCCATGGGCTAGCCACAGTATTTAACATTGCCAGATCATTTTGCTCCTGTATTTTCTCCAAGGCTTAGACCCTGAATGGAGAACTTGTTTTCTGGGAGTTAGTCAAAGGAAACCCTCAGCTGGGTGCTTTCCTAGACCTGTCTTCACCGAGTAAGTGAACAAGATCCATTATTGATTTTGTTGTATATACCAAGTACATACAACTTTTTTCACTTAATCTTTCCCACAACCATGTATAGTAATTACTGTTGTGTACATTATAAAGATTAAAAACCTGTATCTCAGAGGGGAAAAGTAACTTTCTCAGGGTCACAAGCCTATTAAGTCTGATTGCAAAGCCCACATTGTTAACCACTGTTGCAAAATACGTACAAATTGGTTTATTCTAGAGCCTTGCGTATCTATAATTCCGGTCTCGCTGCCCTGATCCAATCCTCATTTTTCTGAAATAGGCTCTTTTTTATCTCTACAGAATCCTGCCACCTCAGTTGGATACATTGTGTCTATCTTTTTGTGCCCTGTCTAACAGAGATATCACTGTCCTGTCTCAGAGTTCTCAGGCCACCTACCTAAGGCTGTTGAATCTCAGTAACAACCAGATATTCTCAGAAGTTTATGAGCCCTTCCAGAATCTGCTAGAGAAAGTCTCAGGCACCCTGCAGTATCTGGAGATAAATAGTTGCCTGGTAACTGATTCTACTCTCTCTGCTGTCCTCCCAGCCCTGAGCCACTGTACCCACCTCCATGTTCTTAGCTTTGCCTTCAACCCCATTACAATGCCTCTGCTCATGGACCTTCTGCAGCATTTAACATGCTTGATGGAGCTGAAGCATGTTATTTATCCTGTTCCTGTCCACTGCTATGAACAATGGAATTTTCCTGGAAGTTTGGACCGACAGAAACTTGCTGAAGTGCAGGCCCAATTGACAGCAATGCTGCAGGTGGTACAGCGAGATGACATGACCTGGACCACTTGTCCTGAGTGATTTCCATAGTACAAGGAGTTGTTTCAACACTAATGTGTGACCATTAAAGTATTCAATGTTTTGTCTGAAGCTCAGATTTGTTAGACACACAGATAAAATTCTACTGTTTGAGGAAACTGGGGTTAGGGAGATTGGATATGTAACTGACCTCTATAAAGAAAAACTCTAAAAAGGAAATAGAAGAATTTGAAAGGTCCTGTGGATCTTTTGCTTATTCCCCTCTACATCCTTTTCTGGTTGCTAACCACAATGTTGGGTATATGACATAGGCTAACCCAGTGATGGCACCATCATTTTTCTTGTCACACTGATTGGTCCATTTATCCACTTATGGACATGTGACACAAGTCAGAACAATTGAAACTCTTCCTGGTTGTGGTAGTTATTTAAGCCAATAATTTTATCCTATAGGGTCCTGCAAACTTCTTGTATGTACGATTGCCTGGGGTTGCTTATGAGAAATCCTATATGAGTAAAAAGAAACAAACTATGCCCATTACCTACTGGTGTCTTTTGTTGTTGTTTGTTTTTGAGTATAGTTGACACACAATGTTACATTCATTTCAGGTGTACAGAAGAGTGATTCAGTTTCTCTATATGTTATGCTATGCTCACCACAAGTGTAGCTACCCTTTGTCACCGTACAACCCTATTACAATATCATTGGCCATATTCCCTATGCAGTGCCTTTTCCTACTGATGTTTTTATTAACATGTTGCTACCTGCTTTCCCAGGTCTCAGACCTCTGGCTCTGTTATTCCTTATTTCACATACATTCACCAAATAACTCTTACGATTTAGGTACTGTTCCAGATGCTGCGAACTATAAAGTCCCTGATCTCAAACCACTCAGAGTATAGATATTCCTATGATTTGTCAGTTTCTCCACTCTTTTTTAGGGCATTTGAGAAAATTATTTACCACCCCTCCACCCCAGATTTTTTTCACCTTTTCTCTCACATACTCTGCTCAATCCATGTTGGCCTCTTTATGCTGTTGTATAACTCTCAGGTCATGGCTTAAATGTTTCCTCCTCAGATAGGTTTTTTCTTCCTTATCCAAGTAAATTGACTCTGCTGCTGCTCTCTCTTAGTGTACCATGTACATTTCCTTCATGGTACACATAATTCCATATGTATTTGCTCCCTCTGCTCTTCCACTAGAGTTACACTGTTCATTATGGTATACACTAGCCATATGTGGCTACTGAGCACTAGAAATTTGCTCTAAGTATTAAATGCACAGTGTATATCCAAGACTTGGTGAGAAACAAAAGATATAGAATAACAAATTGATAACTTACTTATATTCTTTATATATTGAAATGATAATGTATGGCATATCAGAGACCACAAAGAAAAAATGTAAATTAACTTTTTTAATATTGTTTATATTTTTTAAAGATTTTATTTAGTTATTTGAGAGAGAGCGAGAGAGAGAGAAAGAGAGGGAAAGATAGAGTAGGGTGAGGGGCAGAGGGAGAAGCAGACTCCACACTGAGCAGGGAGCCTGCTGTGGGGCTTGATCCTGGGACTCCAGGATCATGACCTGAGCTGAAGGCAGATGCTTGCTTAACCGTCTGAGCCACCCAGGCACCCCTATATTGCTTACATTTTGAAATAATAACACTATTTCAGAGACTTGGTAAGAAAAAATGTTAACGATTTCTTATATATTTACATGTCAAAATGATAAAACATTGCATTTCAAAGACTTATTGAGGAATAAGAATCTAAATTTATTCCTGTCATATGTTACAATGATAACATTGAATTTCAATGACTTACTAAAAAAAAAAGGAAAATAATTACTACTTTGTGTATAGTCTTTCCATGTTGAAATGAAAACAGACTGCATTTTAAAGACTTAGTAAGAAAAATGTAAAAGTAACAATGATGTGTTGATGTTGTTTCCATGTTGAAATAAAACATGCATTTCAAAGACTCACTAAAATTTTTTAAATTACTTTTTTCTTATTGCTTACAACCTTGAAATGATAACAAACTGCATTTCAAAGACTTAGAGAAAAAAATGTAAAAGTTGATAATTAATAAAAATAGTTAACAACCTGTTATTTCCATTTTGTGATAACACACTGCATTTCTGACTTAGACAAACATGTTAGAATAACTAATAAGTGAATTGTATATATTGTTTCTTTGTTGAAATAACACATGGCATTTCAAAGATTTCATAAGAAAAAAGAATACAAAATTAGTAATTTCATATTGCTTACATATTGAAATAATGATATAATGCACTGCATTTCAAAGACTTAGTATAAAATATAAAGTTAATTAACAATTTATTCATATTGTTCCCAGCTAGAAATTATAATTCCTTTACCTTTGTGTTAAAAATAATTATTAAAATTAAATTCACCTTTTCCTTTTAACTTTTTCTTTGGTTTTTACTTTTTTTGGTGTGGCTCATACTGTATTTCTATTGGTCAAGATGGCACTAGACCATTAACTCCATCTGGGCAGACTGTTTCTGTTTAGTTTATGTATTAATCATGCTTTTTATTTTCTGTATTTTCTGATGTTTTGACATCTGGGGCCTTGCTGACACTGGAGAGAGACTGCCTCTCCCAAGGCTTGCTAAATCCTAGGGAGTGAAAACTACTTACTTGTGAGCGTGACTTTCTTATGCAAACCAAACAATACAGAGCCCAGCCCCCAATTACCTTCTTTGTGGGATCTCACAGGGCTTTTAACACTCTGGGCTACTATTCTCCTGCCCCAATCACCCTAAGTACAGGTAACAAACAACTTAGAAACAACCGGTATGCCCCAGTGCGCACTGAAAATACTCAAACTAGCTCATTCATTATAAGCCTGTTTAACCTTCCTTGCCTTGCATTACCCTTATAAATCACAAAAAGTCAAGACTTCTAGAACACTACGCAAAGGGATAATTAAGAACATTATTCCTGTGGTGTTGACAATGTGAATGACATGTTTAGAATTTTTTTTTTTTTTTTTTTTTTTTTTTTTTTTTTTTTTAGTGGTTCCCCGTTCTTTGCTTTCAGAAGATTGGAAGAATGACCCAAACGACTTGTCAGGGAATCATTAAAAATAATTTTGGAGGAGGGGCATTTGGGTGGCTCAGTCAGTTAAACATCTGACTCTTGATTTCTGCTCAGGTCATGATCTCAGAATTGAGCCCCACATCCGGCTCAGTGCTGCTGAGCATGGAGCCTGCTTAGGATTCTCTCTCTCCCTCTCCCTCTGCCCTTCCCCTGCTCCCTCTCTCTTAAGAAGAAAATTATTTTGGAAGATATCATAAGACATTCAAAGAACTGACTGCTATTTCTACACAAAAGTTCTCTATTACTGTTTGTTAGGATCACAGACACAGACTGACGTTAAGTCCAGGAATTCATTCCACTGTGTGTGTATGTTACATTTTGTTTATCCATTCATTCATACATAGTAATTTGGTTATTTTCACTTTTTGGTTATCATGAATAATGCTGCTATGAATATTTGTGTGCAAATATCTGTAAGAGTTCCTGATTTCAATAATTTCAAATATATACCTAGAAGTGGAATGGTTAGATCATATGGGAATTTTATGTGTGATTTTTTAAACAATCACCATAATTTGTTCCAATCGGATGCACCATTTAAAATTTTCACCAGCAATGTGGTTTCCCCATATTCTGGTCAGCACTTGCTATTTTCTGTTATTGTTATTGTTTTTTGGATAATAACCATCCTAATGACTCTGAAGTGGTTTGTCATTGTGGTTTTGATTTCCCTTCTAATTATTCTTTTTTTTTCTAGAATTTTAAAGGTTTTCTACATATAAAATCATGTCATCTGCAAAGAGATAATTTTTCTTCCTTTCCAATTTGTATGCCTTTTACTTCTTTTCCTTACCTAATTGTTCTGCTAGAGTTTCTGATACTATGCTTTTTATTTTTTAATTTTTTTTATTGAATATATTTAAGGTGTACAACTGGATGATTTGATGTACTTATATATTGTGAACAAATCACCACAATCAACTAATTACTAACATATCCATCATATCACATACTTACCTTTCTTTTATGGTGAGAAACTTGGGATCTATACTAGGACATTTCAACTATACAGTACAGTATTGTTAGCTAGAGTCACGATATACATTTCATTATACATATGTATCATACATTCTTTATCCACTCATCTGTTGACAGGTTGTTTCCATAGCTTGACTATGAGAATGCTGCAAAGAACATATGAGTGCAGGTAGGTGTCTCTTCAACATCGTGATTTCAAATCCTTTGGGTAAATATCCAAAAATGGGATGGCTGGATCATATGGTAGTTCTATTTTTTTTTAAAGATTTTATTTATTTATTTGAGAGAGAGAATGAGAGAGAGCATGAGAGGGGGGAGGGTCAGAGGGAGAAGCAGACTCCCTGCTGAGCAGGGAGCCTGATGCGGGACTCGATCCTGGGACTCCAGGATCATGACCTGAGCTGAAGGCAGTCGCTTAACCAACAGAGCCACCCAGGCGCCCTGGTAGTTCTATTTTTAATTTTTAGGAGAAACTCCATAATGTTTTCCATAATGGTTGTACCAATTTACATCCCCATTTACAATGTACTAGGGTTCCACGGTGTATATACACACACACACACAGTAAAATATTATTCAGCCTTAAAAAGGAAATGCTGTTATTAGAGATAACGTAGATAAACATAGGGGACATTATCTTAAGTGAAATAAGTCAGAAAGACAAATACTGCACAATACCACTTATATAGAGAATTTTTAAAAAGTCAAAGTTGAACTCAGAAGCAGGGAGTAGATTGGTGTTTATCAGGGGCTGGGGACTGGGGACAATTGGGAGATATTGGTCAAAAGATACAAAGTTTCAGTTGCATAGGATGACTAAATTCTGGAGATCTAATGTATGGCATGGTGACTGTAGTCAATAATACTTTGTTTTTAAAATTTGCTAAGAGAGTAGATCATAAGTGGTAATTCACCACCAAAAAAGGTAAC